TGTGGGGGAGCATCTGAGTGTGTGCAGGTTGTATATGTGTGCGTGGGGCAGGGCATCTGAGTAGGGGGGTGACCTTGTATGGAGCGTATGTGGAGAGGGTGTGCACGTGTAGGGGGCGGAGGGGTGTGTATGGGTGTGGAGGGGTGTGTGCATACACATGTGTCTAAAGGTGTGGAGGGAGGTGTGTGTATGCAGGTGTGTGAAGGGGAGTGCGTGTGTGTTTGTACATGTGCGTGGAGGGAGGGGGTGTGAAGGTGGGCATACATGCGTGTCTGGAGAGATGTGTGCACATATGCATTTGTGTATGTACACGTGTGGGGAGGGGTGTGTATGTATATGTGTGTGGAGGGGGTGTACAAATGTCTAGAGAATTGGGGGTGTGCACATGAGGGGGTTGTGTAGGGGGGGTGCATGGAGGGGTGTGCATACATGTGTGTATAGAGAGGTGGGTGGGTGAGTGTACATATGTGGAGGGGGGTATGGAGGGGTGTGTGAACATGTGCGTGTCTGGAGGAGTGTGTGTGCATGGGTGGGTGGGTGTAGTGGAGGGGGTGTGTACATGTATATGAGGAGGAGAGCATGGTGGTTGGTGCATTTGTATGAGGAACAGGGGAATCAGGCCAGAGCAGGGAGGGGGAAGCAGGGCTCACTCCACACCGCCGCTGGGGTATATTCAGGACATGTCCCTTCCTTGCCTGCCAACTCCCCTTCACCATAAAAGGCCACTGGGAGAGACTTGCTGGCTGTGTGCCAGGATACCAGTACAGTGGGACAGGAGCTGGGCAGCACTGGGGGGCACCCAGCCCAGGCCCTCTCCCAAAGCCGAGGCTGTCTGCCCTGCAGCAAAGGAGCCCCGCAGAGCCCTGGCACTGTTAGGGAGAAAGGCAAAGTAGATCACACCATACAGACTAACTGAATAAGAGATACATGAGAGAGAGCACAAGCTTCGGAAACCCAGGTTCATTTCATGGGGTGCTATAAAAAGACATCAGAGAGCAGAGTATAAAGTGGAGCCAAGTGACTGTTAGAGACTCCAGGACCCTCTTCTGCTATACATAACAGCTCATGATAACAAGAACCTAAGGGCGGAGGCTTGCAGGGACACGGCCCACATTTCATGGTGGCAATGTTCATACACCAAGATGGTGGGAATACTGGAGAACTGGAAGGCTGGGGCAATGCTGAAAACACTCACCTCATCATAGGACCCCTGAAACTCCCCAGAACTGCTCACAGAGACAGTGTGCTCTATCTCCTGATCTGCCTGGCAGCTGACTCCCCAGCCCAGCCCAGCCCAGCCCAGCCCAGCCCCTGGCTTGTTTACTTTTCATTCCATCCAGGAAGAGCACACACCAACTGCTGAAACTTCCTCAGCCTGACGAAGGGTTTTTGAACCCAAAAGCTTGCTTAATAAATATTCTCCAACCATTTGGGTTGGTCTAATAAAAGATATCAAATTCATCCAAGGAACCTTGTCTGCCTATGTCCTTAGACCAACACGGCTACAACCTAAACCCCTGGCCATGGAAATGTGCACTCACCTCTTCCCCTTTGTGGCATAGCACCTGGTCCTTCCCACCAGCTCTTTATGTTCTCCTCTGCTAGCTTTTACAAAGACAGTTATAAAAGGGAGAATGATGCTAAGTATGCCCATGTTGCGTATTACTGTCATGCCCTTTTGTCAATCAGCCTGATGCTCAGGCCCAGAGCCACAGCACAAATCCACTGGGATCCTGGTTTCCTATGTGGTAGGGCCTGAAGGGTCTTGGCTGCCCCAAAATTAAAAAATAAATAAATAAAAAAGGATTTTGTCCAGACCGAGCCACCCATCCTCAGAGACATCCTCAGGGCTCAGACTGAATGATTGATGAGCCACAGAAGCCAACTGACATTTACATGAGGAGTGGAAAAGTTGGCATTATTAGAGTAAAAGTGAGGCATTGTCCATTCTGACTCCATCTCTGTGGGCGCATCTACATAAGATGAATGCGCAGTAGCGTGCTGGGGAAAGAGCATGCTAATATGCTACTGCGCAGTAGTATTAGGCTCAGTTATCCAAGTCCTAAACTTACTAAACTACTAACTAAACTAACTAAACCAACTTACTAAACTAACGACAGTTGGTTATCCAAGTGCTAACCTTAATGTGCAGTAACTACAGTGCATTAATGAATGTGTAGACACACCCTATATCTCAGAAAGGATGAACTAGAGTTAGAAAATATGCTACAGAGAAAGGCAACCAAGATGATCAGAGGAGCAGCTACCATGACAAGAGAGACAAAAAAAGGCTAGAACTTTTCAGTTTTCAAAGGAGAAGGCGCAGTGGAAATGATAGAGGTCTATCTATAAAATTATGAAGGTTGTGGACAAAGTTTCATAGTTTCATAGTTTCACAGTAGGTAGGGTCGGAAGGGACCTAAGTAGATCATCAAGTCCGACCCCCTGCC